GAGGAGGGGCACCCCAGGTGGGGGGGGGGGGGGGTGGGGTTCCACCCCGCCCCCCCCCTGGGGCCCCCCCCCCCCCCCCCCCTTCCACACACACACATCTCCAAACCTGAATGAAAGACTTATAAGAGATAAAGGCCCAACATTCATTGAAAGAATGCATATCGCCCGCCGCCTTTCATGCCACATGACTGATAATTGACGCACAATTTTTAATCAAACCATAAAAATAATGTTATTCGCACTCCCGTGCATGTTGTGAGCTGTCACGTTCAGAGCATGAGTTGTGAATAAATAAGCCCAAATTTTGCTCAACATTTGCAAAACTGACAAAGTTAGAGCGATTTTTGAGTTATTTAAGGTCAGTTAGCTGTGGTGGCCATCTTGAATTGTATCGACTCCAAAAATTAATCCGTTGTAAAATAATTTCGGAAAGCTTCATTAAAATACATGCACTGATTCATGAGATATTTTGCTAACAGGCAGACCTGACTCTAAAAGTCAATGGCAAAGCGTGCATGAGCGGGTAGCTATTAAAGCATGTGTTGGAGACGACTCTCTGCTACTACCACACCAAATTCGAGCTCAAAATCTGAAAATGTGGGCGAGTTAAAGCCATTTTGGTGTTTACAAGCTTTGCCTTGCTGTGACAGCCATCTCGAACCAGAATGATTTGAAAAGTTAACCGATGTTAGATGTCCATCTAGAGAAAACTTTCCGAGAGTTTCACTAAAATCTGTTTAGCAGTTCAAGAGATATTTTACTAACAGACAGGAAAACCTACACAGAGAGACAAAAATTTGCTTTTTGGTGGCAGGTGATAATAATCTTTTGTAAGGCTCAGAGTCATGTCCCCATGTTGCATTTATTCTTCTTATTTTCCATTTATTTTAGAAGATAAAATAAGATACAGCTGCACACAGGACTCACACTGTAAACACGTTTTCTATCATTAATCAACCAAGACGCTTGAGTTTCTAAAAGAAATATTTGGTGCACACATAAATAAAAACATTCATTCCTCTTTTTTTTACTGTAAAACATTTCAGACTTATACTAAAATAATTGTTTCTTTAAGGGAATATTTATTAACCAGTTCCAAACAAACATGATTTATTTCTGTAACTGGATATAGTTATTATTTAGAAAATGGTGTGTGTAAAGTTACTTGTTGTACTTACAAAATAATAATAATAATAAAGTCAAGCGCAATCAAATTGTTCTCACAGCACAACTCTTAAAGTCAACACTGCATCCGTTTATTGACCTAACTGTAAAATTTTAAAATCACTCCGTCCGTATCATAATTGTTCCAACGGAGGGGAAAGAAAAATGAACTGGCTAAGAGTATATGAAGGCCTCTGAATAAATAAATCCAAACGCCGTGTGCATTTTTATCACATGAAAACTCATGCTGGGCGCCGCTTTGTTGCGTTTATCGCCCCCGCAGCAGAGCCACCTCTCCAGGAGGATTTACAGTGAGGGAACAGGATCCGAGAACCGTTCCCTGACCACAAAGGTGTGTGGTTAAACAGCTCTGCTGCCGAGGTGACTTCATGCCTGCTTGCCCCCACCTCTGACTTATAGTTTGAGGTTTGGACTCCAGGACAGAGACAATGGACCATTGAGTGTAGCAGTGTGAGTAAGAGGCCCGGACGTCTCCTACTTCTGCTAAATTGAAGTATTTGGTGTTCCCACCATTGACTGAACAGCACAGATCCTGTGCAGGATCAATGTTAAATTATTATTATTATTATTTTAGGTTAGGTTTATTCAACACAAGGTCAACAATGCAATGAAATGCTTAAGATGAAAAGAACCATCTTGACTTACCAAAAAAAAAAAAAAAAAAAAAAAAAAAACAAAGCATGCAGCAAAAATACTAAAAACATACTAAAAATATTACTAAATTACTAAAAACATACTAAAATACTACTAAAATACTAAAAAAAAACTATTAAAATACTAAAAACATACTTAAATACTACTAAATACTAAAAGCATACAAAAAATACTACTAAAAAGTATTTTTGTAGCATTTTAGTGCACTAAAATGCTACAAAAATACTAAAAACACACTCAAATACTATTAAAATACTAAAAACATACTAAAAATACCACTAAAATACTAAAAATACCACTAAAATACTAAAAACACACTAAAAATGCTAATAAAATACTAAAAACACACTAAAAATGCTAATAAAATACTAAAAACATACTAAAAACTAGGGATGCACGATATTATGGCATGGTATCGGCTGATATTTGCGATAAAGATAAATATCGGACATCGATCATTCAATCAAAATATCAC